AAAAACACGAGACAATGGAATGATTCAGTCTCTGTGGAAACGAAATAATTCGTGCGATCGCACGCGATTATTGTAATTAATGAGCAACGATGCTAACGACAGGATGCGTCCGTTTGCATCCATTTCACTCTAGATCCTGCCAATGAGTTCTCACGAGATGCGTTCATTTTATCCCTCTTGGGAATTATGTTGTTTGTTGCGTCATACATGAATCTCGATATTGAAGAAAATTCTTCGAAACTTTTTATCATTTTTTTTGCACAACTTTCAAGTCGATTTTTAAACTCGAAGTATTAAATTATTCTTATTTAAGATTTACTTGAAAGGTAAGTGTATGTGAGAAATAGTGTTAAAAGACATTATTAAAAAAATTCATGTTGACAATGATGGAAATTGTGGCTAAAATATATGCAAACAATGTAACAAAGTCAGGCTCTTCTCGTTACTTTGAAACGATTGTTCCACTAACACTTGAGGGATCGATGACTATTCCTGCCGGAAGAAGCAAACGAGACGAGGTGTACCATGCTCTAATTTATAGAGTCCAATAAATTTCGAAGCTTTCCACTAGTGATGCATCTCTCCGTAGCTCTCGGCCCCTCTCGAGTTGAACGAACTTGCTCGATCCGTGCAGGGACCTCAACGACACCCTTGACACCTCAAACGCCACTTACTAATTCTCTTTGTACCCACGCATGCACGCACGTGCCTTCAGGCTAATGCAATAACGCGGTCGGAACCTCTATCAGGGGCTTAGCCCTACTAGCACGTGGTTTATGCGCGTGCTGTGCCCAGAAGGTGACGAGAACATACGTAAATTGCTACCGACATTACTTCCTGGTTATATTTAGACTTACCTAACTGCAAGATCGAATTTCCTACGAGATGACTCCACGAGGAATCGGTGATAAATCAATTGGAATTGTTCAATCAAGCTCCCCATGCTCGCCATCTATGAATCAATGACCTCCACTTGGTTGTAGTATTTTTCTGAGGGTTGTCAGGATTATCTTCAGCTTTTAGCAACGTCTACCTTCAATTTCTTTATTAACAATTTTTTTCTTTTCTTTTTTGATGCAAAGAGTTGTATAAAATTATTTGACTAGAAAGAGAGAATCTATTAGAAAAAAATTTTTTCTAATGTAAAGAGATTGCATAAACATTATTTGGCTATTGTGAAAGAGAGTCGCGTTTCAATAGAAGTTGTAGTACGTTTGTAATTTTAAGACAGAGAGAGAGAGAGTAAATATAGATCGAATGTTTCGAAAAGTTCCTCCCAACTTTCTTATCTTATTCTTTCTCATTTGATGCATTTCCTAAAATGGATGCGTCCCCTTATTTTCAAAGCTCCCCTATGGTACACGTTAATGTGGGGCACGCGCGCCTACAGCATGACAGACACGTGCGCGTCTGTGTATGAATTGTCAATCTACTTACGTCAGGCAACATCGAACATCTAATCCGTCTAATCCGGTGCTCTTCTACTTGTTGTTGGTATGATTAATATAATTAATATGAGTGCTTTAGAGCAGTTATAAAACCGAATGTTGCATTCCATAACAAACCACCTTCCTTGTTTAAATATTATCGAAAAAAAATAATATATCGAAAATAATATCGAATATATATTTGCAAGAATACAAAAAATCTTGACGATAAACGAGCAGTTATTTTTTTTAAATTATTCATCTTAAATTCTTCGATATTTTATAACACTACAGAATGTTTAAATTAAATCTACTTCATCTTAATATTTACGATGATATTACTAATTAGCTAATAGAGTCTAAATTAATTACATTTTTTATACTACATTTGAATAAAAAGAAGTAGCTAATGTCGGACCTAAATTATAGTTTACTTTAACAGTTAATGTTATAAACTATATTCTCAACACTATACAAAATCAAAATGTAGCCGAATGTATTATGGACATGAAAATTCGACAAATCCCTGTATTTATTGTCAAACACTTCAAATCAACCTAACAGTCTTCACTAAGAATATCTTTATTGCACAAACAAATTGAAAATCCAACTTTACTATTTCTAACGTCAAGTAAAAAAAAAAAAAAAAAAAAAAAAAAAAAAAAAAATCACACTTCAAACGCGATTGGATTGCTAATGCAGAAGGAAAGCATTCGGATTAGTTGTCCCAGATTTCTTTCTGCCGTCAACTTTTCGTCAGGCTCGCGAGTATTCTTATCGGGTCGTTTGTCATTTTTCTTCGAGGAGACAGGGAGGCCTAATGAGTGAAGGCACGCGCCCGCTAGAGGAATCAAGGGTATCGGAGGCGCGAGTCTCCGATCTCCGGCTGCTCGCAAGAGGGTACCTACTACTAACTCTTGGCAGTCGACAAAAATAGCACCCCGGTGCCGTTGTACCTACGGATGCAACGAGCATTACCATCGACAGCACGAGGGAGGAAGGGAAACGTCGGGATTTAGACGTGACGGCCGCCCTTCGGCACGCAAAAGGGACGTTGTTCCACGTTTGAACGCGAGGGATCATCGCGCCTCGTAGAGGAAGCTCTATTTCCGGTTTGCATCCGAGGCTCGCGATCGTTCCTCGATATCACGTTCGCGTGTTATAAAACGCTTGAAAAGTTCCTCTACATTTTTCGTAAACACACCGTAGAAAACACTCTTAATAAGCAAAAACTCGTATCCTCGGTTGCCTGAGATTTTCAATAGGAAACACGATAGATGCAGCGGCTCGCTTCTGTCGGAAATTGTCGTGTACATATTGTTTATTATATAAGATTATTTTCAAATTTTATTATTATCATTTCTTATCAAATGGGACACGACAGTCAAAACTGTATTGATTGAATTCAATTAAATCAATACTTCTGATCTCAAATATCTTGTCTCTCATTGTAGTGCTAGTGAAATCTCGAAATGTTTCGTGAAATGCAGGAAATATATTTGTTAAAGTGTTCAAATATTTTCGTGAGCTATATCACACATCAACTGATCGAAATTGAAAATTGACTGACACTTCCCTGAGAATAATTCGTTTTGTGAATAGCGATCGGTCGAGTCATGCTTTCAATGAAAACAAACTAAGGAACGATTGTACGTGTGTTTTTGGTGTGTTTAACAATGAGTCAACGCATAACAGGAGGCGTAACAGATCTTTTGCGATTATTTCATTCTGACGTGGAAAGATGTGAATGTGGCGAAGGAATAGGTCGTTGTTCCTTTGTAAAAGAAACAATTTTAGAGAACAGAGGGAAACATCTCCTTCGCTGAGAACGCGATCGGAAATCGCTCGGAATCTCGAAAAAAGGACTCACAAATGCATCTCCTTCTTTTCATTCGAGCCGTAGCTGGAGCAGACGGAAGCTCGTCAGTTATGCACCTTAAATTCGGCGAAAAAGAGACCAATCGGCAGTGAGACTATCGGACAAAAGCTTACCGGTGTTTCAGCCTCGAAATAGCAGCGTCGGGACGTCGACTCTCGGCTATCTCGCGTTCCACGGAGCAACGACACTTTTCCTTCTTTCTCCTTCTTCGCCTTCGTCTTCTACTTCTCTTCAAGCTTTTGCACTCGATCGTCGCGAGACGATCCTTACGAAGAATTTTCGCGTTAGGTTCATTTGAATAAAAATATAAAAAAATATCTTCTCAATGTCCTTCTTCGATGTCTAAAGTTTAAAATAAATATTATAAAAATAAATTAGAAGGTAGACGGATGTCAGTTTAAATGCCGATCCGCCCCCGATCCTCCATTCAGAGGAACACCGAACCAGTCGACGCGTTTTCAACGACTGCACCACGTTGCCCTCGTTCTCTTCGAGCTACGGCAAAGCTCTCGTTTGTCCAGAAGCTTTTTTCTTCCTCGCTTTCCCCACCAACCGGAGCCTTCCCCTACTATTTCCTTGTCTCGGGGTGGAAGCTGACGAAGGGAATTTCGATGGTGCTCTTCGTCATTTTTCCATTAATGTCATTCATCCAATCTCTAATCAATTTCTGAAGATATCTTCGATCTCGAAACGTTCATTTAATTTGAAGTTTAAGTTAATCTATATCAAATTTAGATAAATAATATAAATAATACTCGAGGTAGATTGTAATCTTCTTTTTCTTTTTTCTTTTTACGTGATACTTTCTTATTTTTAACTTCAGAATTTAAAGATGCTGTTTGCTTGTAGAGTCGAAGTGATAAAGTTGAGGAAGATTGCAATGTCTAACCATGACAGAAAAATTCACTTAAACACTTCGAACTCTACGGAACTTGTGCTTTGTGGAATTTGTTATTTATTTATGAATTTAATCAGATATTAGTGATAGAGGAAGATAAGCTAGTTTAGGATAAGATACATTTAGATCTCCAAACTAGTCGACGAATACCGTCAGCTATTTTTTTCCAAGTTCTTCGTCTTTGTCTTCTCGCGTGTCACATATCCGCCGGAACTAGTGATGTACTTTTTTCAGTTTCGTCTGTCGTTGAGCCTCGGATTAGCATTCTTCTCTCTTCGAAGAAATATATTTTACAGCAAAAGAATAAGCTTTAAGTATCTTCATTATTATTTTATTCTCTTATCATTACGCCGGTTTAATGAAGAATGAAATCTTTGGTGTCGAAAAGCAAGGTGATGGGATGACGAATGCAATATGAAGTTATTCTTTTATTCATTTCATTGTCGCTGAAAAAATGATATTACCGATCATGATTTTTAATAAGATTATTTGAAATTACGTTCCTGGGATTATTTTAAAAATTATATTTAACAAATATGCATGTCAATAAAATTCTGCTTGTTTTTATACACCGGTCCCCAAGAGCCATACTTGTCGCTTTTGTTCGTCGGTTGTCGTTGTGACTGCTGTTGATATCCCGACGACGTGCTTTTGTCCTTCCTAAATACGTAAAATTAGAAAAAAAAAAAAAAAAAAATAGACATTTGTAACGTTAGCAAAGAACCGAGAAAAATAAATTACAAACATACTTGAAATTCTCGTACGGTCCTTTGATGGTAACATTGTTGATACTAGTGTGCACCATTTTGATTCCTTTCGCTTCTTCTCGAAAGTAACTACAATCCTTTTTTCCACTTCTTTTTGCAACCGAAAAATTGGCGAATTTTTCTAAGAGCAGTGTTCCTTGAATTTCCTCTGATACTATCAGATATTACTGCTAATATAGATTAAAGATTATCAATTCTGCTTTGTGGTTTTCTAACTTTTTTCAATTTTTTGGACACTTACTTTATGGTACGTGATGCAAGTGAACCAGAACCAGCAATTCTAGCCGATTTGCGGTGTTCCCACGTCGACTCCCTTTACGAGTTCGTAGATTTTTTGCGAGCCTGCAAAAAAAAAAAAAAGAACAGCGAAAGCTATTAATCATAGCTAAAAACACCCTTCATAATCCCTTTTTTATGTTATTTTTCCATAATTATATTGGTTAAATTTTCAAAATATTATTTAATATTTACGTAAATATTATATACGTAAAAACTTATTTACCGTTCGTTTAAAGAAAATGCATACATATTTCAAGTGAAATATATTTCAATATGCTTCTTTTATCAAACTTCCATTTTGTACTGTTCCACATCGTCAAAAATACATAGAACGTTAATTAACGAATAAGAATAATTATGAAAACATCGATTAACAAATAATCGATAGATAAATATTATCTCATATTTTTGCTATTTTTTTTTCCATTTCTTTCTAATATTAATATTTAAAATAGTTCAATAGATAAATTATGTGATTGTCACTCATATAAGGACAAAGTTATTCGATTATATGATTAATTCAAATAACTTATAATACTCTAATTTTATAAATCTTCCGAAATAAAAGACTTACCTTTTAACAAAGTAAGTCTTTTATTTCAGAAGATTTATTCGAAATAAAAGATACTTTTTGATACGAATAATTTTCCATATATCGCTCGTTTTCATTTTCTTAATACATGTT